TGTTCAGTGTATCAAATCTATTCTTTAGAGAGTCTCCAAATTCAGGAAGGATATAATCAAAGTTATATTTTGGCTATTGTGAACTTGTTTTAATTGTCTTCAGCTTCAGCTTGAACTTGCATGTGAGCAACAGATGGTCTGTTCCACAGTCAGTTCCTGGCCTTGTTTTGGCTGAAGAAATTGAGCCTCTCCATTGTCTCTTTCCACAGATGTAGTCGATCTGATTCCTGTGTATTCCATCTGGTGAAGTCCATGTACAGCCACCATCTGTACTGTTGAAAAATGATATTTACATGAATAAGTGATTGGTCTGGCAAAATTCTGTCATGCAATCTCCAGCATTATTTCTGTCACCAAGGCCAAATTTTCCAACTACCAGTGATTCTTTTTTGTTTCCAACTTTTGCATTCCAATCATCGTGATAATCAACACATCTTGATTGCAAGTTTGGTCAACTTCAGACTGCAGAAGTTGGTAAAAATCTTCAATTTCCTCATCTTTGGCTTTGGTGGTTGATGTGTAAATTTGAATAATAGTAGTATTAACTGGTCTTCCTTATAGGCATATGAATATTGTCCTATCACTGACAACATTGTGATTCAGGATAGATCTTGAAACTTTCTTTGTGAAGATGAATGCCACACCTTTCCTCTTTAATTTGTCATTGCTGGCCTAGTAGATCATCTGGTTTTCTGATTCAAAATGGCCAAAACCAGTCCATTTCAGCTGAATAATGCCTAGGATATCTATCTTTATGCCTTTTTAACAACTTTCAATATTCCTAGATTCATACTTCTTACATTCTATGTTCCCATTATTAAGGGATGTTTGAGGCTGTTTCTTCCCATTTTGAGTCATGCTACATCAACACATGGAAGTCCCAAAATCTTCACTCTATCCACATCATTAAGGTAGGCTCTACTTTAAGGAGGCGGCTCTTCCCCAGTCATATTTTGAGTGCCTTCCAACCTGAGGGGCTCAATGTTTCAGGGCTATTCATAAAGTTTTCCAATATATCAGACAGTTTTTCACTGCTATTCGTAAGGCTAATTCTTTGAGAAATGGATGGCCCCTTCCTTTTTCCAGGTATGTCTTAGTCTGGAAGCTCCACTGAAACCTGTCCACCATGGGTAACCCTGCTGATACTTGAAATACCAGTGGCATAGCCTCCAGCCTCACATCAACACACAAATCACCACAGTATGACAAACTGACAGACAGATGGTGGAAAAGAGAACCCACAGACTGGGGAAAAAATATTTGGCAAGGACATATCTGACAAGGCATTTACTCTAAAATTTATAGAAAACTCCTCCAACATCTCAACAACAAAAAGACAAGCAATCCAATTAAAAAATGGGCAGAAGACATGAATAGACACTTCACCTAAGCGGATACTGAGGTGGCCAAGGAACACATGAAGAAATGTTCACAATCATTAGCCATTAAACCCAAAAAAAAAAAAAAAAAAAATCCAACCTCACTGCCATCCATTTGATTCTGACTCATAGTGACCCCTCCTTGGGTTTCTGAGGCAGTGTCTCTATGGAAATAGATTATCTAGTCTTCCTTCTGAGAAGTGGCATTTGCTATTAGAGAGATGGAAATCAAAACAACAATGATATACCATCTTGCCCCAGCACTAATAGCAAAGTTCAACAGGACAGAAAATAACAAATGCTGGCAAGGATGTGGAGAGATTGAGACTCTCATACACTGCTGGTGGGACTGTCAAATGATACAACCACTGTGAAAAGCAGTATGGCAATTCCTTAAAAAGTTGGAAGTACTCTAGACCAATGACAGATTCAGCTGAGGATAATCTTGCACAAATACTAGTGATACAACATAACCACAATCATTACAGAAGCAACAGAAGACAGACTTGAAGTAATCCCTCAGAGACATCCAAACACCTTGGAAGAGAGAACCATGAGGTCTGCCGACTCAGGCCCATAGTATTAGAGGACACCAAGCTCAATTGGCACAACATAATACAAAATAATCTTGCTCCACCACCTACTTTGGTGAGTAGTGACTGGAGTCTTAAATGCTTTTGAGTGGGTATCTAAGGTGCAGCTAATGGTCTCCTCTTGTCTGAAGAAAAGAAGAGTGAAGAAAATAAGGGCATTTGGATATGATAGATCTTGAGACCAGAACTAGATGGTGTCCATCTACCAATGCCAACCACTCAGGAAGGGATCAAAACTGGAGACCCTGGATAGAGTGGGAGGAAAAATGTGGAATTAAAAAACACAATAATGACCAGAAATACTGGTAGGATGGAGCCTGGTGGGACCCCCAAAACTATGGCTGGCCCTGGGATACACTTCAGGCCCAGAATAAGACTCACTCCCAAGTTCTGGCTGTCAGCCCAACAGTAGAAAGACTTACATGCAGAACACCCAGCTCAGGGTGTTGCACCCACCTATTCTATGGAGGTACACCCCTTGGAGCAATCGGCCATGAGGCACCAGAGGGGCAGCATTCACATGGAGAGAAAGCTGGACAGACAGGAATGCATAAGTAAGAAGGCAACAGGGATGGGGAAGGGGTCCAGGGAAGTGAGAGGAGGAGAGAGGGTTGGGGTTGGAGATGGTAATTGGAGAGTGAAACCAAATGTACACAAACAGTAAAACAAATTCTGTTCTGTAAATTTGCACCCAAAACACAATTTAAAAAAAAAAGTTGGAAGTAGAAATTGATCCAGCAATCCCATTGTTGTTGTTCTTATGTGCCATCGAGCAATCTCATTACTAGACAAATATCTTAAAGAATATGAGAGTCTCATGTCCTTGAGAGCCAGGACAAGAACAGATATATGCACACCCATATTCATTGCAACAGTATTTACAATAGCAAAAAGATGGAAACAACCTAGGTGCCCATCAATAGAAGAATGAATAAACAAAATATGGTATGTACACACAATGGAATACTATGCAACACTAAAGAATAATGTAGAATCTGCAAAAACACTGCATAATGTGGATAAACTTGGAGGACATTATACTGAGTGAAATAAGTCAATCACAGAAGAACAAATATTGTATTACTTCATTATTGTAAAAAGACAAGGAAAGATTTATATATGGAAGGAAACTTTCTTTGTTGATTACCAGGGCTTGGGAGGGTAGGGGAGGAAAAACTTCAAAAAAAAAATTAGAAGTATCCCCCCCAAAAAAAAAATTTTTAAGAAACTTTCTTGTAAAAGGTAGTACATAGTCATGTGTGATGATTTCATTTTAACAAAACATAACCTGAAATTAAAATTAATTTGAATGTAACTGTTTCCTAGCTGTTTTTCAGCATTTTTAACTGTTTTATTTTGCTATATGAGAGCTTATAGACACAAGGAGTTTCTAGCTGTTTTTGTTTGTTGTTTATACATATTGAAGAAACAATGAAGGAATTTAAATCAACTCTGGAGGTTGAGATCTTATTTTCTCTTCAAAAGAAGTTTACACATTACTCAAGTTCAAGTATGTTATTCTTTTGTGCTACATCTACTTCCTCTCTGATAACTCAACCTTTTAATTTTTTCTCTACATGCTTCTGCAAAACCATTTTTCCTCACTTAGTGTTTCAGACCCCTGTGCACTTTCCTACCATTCCCATCTGTTCGGATCTTTGCAATGCTTGGCTCTGTCATCTAACACATTCATCAGTCCTTCAAGCATGGTGTCAGCTTCCACTTGGCAGACGTGGCTTCACCATCTTTGTCTGGCTTTGGGTGGAAATATTGGCCAGACAAGCCAGGATAACGTGACATTAATCCACGAATATCCTGAAGGCACTGTTGTCCATACAGAGCAGATTGCATGCTCAGGACCTTCTTTCCCGGTGTTTCCCATCCCATTCCTTTTCACGTGGTCATGGTGGAAACAGTTATTTTATATTTGGATCTCACTTTCTGGTCACAGATGATTAGCCAAGCTGGGCCAGTGAGTCTTGTTCTGTGGATTTTTTTTTATTTCGGAAAAGAGAAAGTCCTACCAATTTCTCTTTAGGTGCTGGCCTTAAAGACATACTGGTGTCAGCCATATAAATCTGTTGAGTAAAGAAGTGAAACAAAGCAGGCTGCAGAGAGAGAATGATAATTATGATAACATATAGAATACTTACCATATCCTAGGCACTGGTCTGAGCATTTCACATGTATTAATTCATTGAATCTCCACAACTCTGTGAAGTAGGTGATGTTGTTAGTGTTACCATTATTACTATTATTTGCAGATGTAAAGACAAGAGCAGAGAAGAAAGAATACAGATGCCTTTCAGGCCTTGAATTCATGCCCTGAGGCTTCAGCCACTCTCCTGACACGAGGTCCTCTGACCCTACAATATACATCCTAATCCTTTGCTTAAGCTCCAGTGGGTTTCTATCACAACCGAAAGTTTTCTAACAAAGATATAGTGTTCCAAACAATCTTTAACAATTAATAACTGTTAATGTTAGTAGAATTCAGCTTCTATTTTCCCCTCCAGTGCAAAAAAAAATGAAATATTTTTGCCAAATATCTGGAACAAATTCAACAGCACCATATTCACTACATTTTCTTTTGTTATAGCAAAGAGAGAAATAGAATAATAGAACATAATTGATTTTCCTTGAAGATAGTACAATAAAGTTAATACAAATCTTTCACTGTGAATAAATACATCAATTCATTTTTATACCAGAAACCAAAATAGAGATACAATTCGTGCTTAGTCTATGTTTAAAATATAACTAAGATAAGAAAAAAAAAATAGTGTCTAGGGAAAGATTAATTATTACTGGCATTAAGAAAGGGGAAATGATTTAGAAAATATTAAAACATCATAAGAAGTTAAAGATATTTCTGTGTCTCTGTTTTTGTATTTTTAAATGGACTCCATCTTATCATAATCAATTGAAGGAATAAAAAGAAAAAAATTAAAATAAGGAAAGGTGATTGAACTAGACTCCTTAACAGCTAAGTTTTAAATGAATCATTTCTTCCCATTTATGCCTGCAGGTGTCTTAAACAACATTATCCAAAATATCTACCTACTGCCAGTGTTGTTATTTGTTTCCATAATGAAGAATTTAATGCCTTGTTTCGGACAATGTCAAGTGTCATGAATCTCACTCCACAGTACATCCTGGAAGAAATTATTTTGGTAGATGACATGAGTGAATTTGGTAAGATGAAACACTAATTATCTATCTAGTCTATTCTGAAGACAGTCCCATCCCTTAAGATGTCTTAGTTTTTTATTCAAGGAAATTGGGGGGGCGGGGTAAGTATTGAGCCAGGCACTCTGGTAGGTGCTATCAATGCTCAGGAGACTATATATGACCTCGCCCCTGTGGTTAAGAAGCTAGTCTAATAGGGTGAGTAGTGCTTCCAAGAGTCTATCAGGAAGAAATGACATATAAACAAAGGTCTGAAGGATGAGCTGTAGTTATCCAGGTGGAGAGAAGGAATAAGTGTGTTAAGCAGAGGAAATAGCATTACAGAAAGTCCAGGGGTCAGAGGAAACATGGTGAATTTGGAATATTCAGTAAGGCTGTAGTGTGGGGAGAGGCAAGATAGATAAAACCAGAGCCATGAAAAGGAACCAGCTTATAAAGAGCATTGTCTGAATTTTATCTAGAGAAAATGGGCAATTTTTACTGGGAGCTCTGGTGGCATAATGCCTAAGGCATTTGACTGCTAACCAGAAGGCTGGAGGTTCAAACCCACCAGCCGCTTCTCAGAAGGAAGATTGGGCGATCTACTTCCATAGTGATACTGCCTCAGAAACCCAAGGAGGGGTTGCTGTGAGTCAGATCTGACTCGACAGCAATGACTTTTTTTTTAAATTATTGGAATTAATGACATGAGTCATGTACTTTTTAAGAGAGAAATTTTAAAGTACCTCCACCAAGACCTGAATTCCAATTGGACCATTGACTAGTGCTGAAATCAATGATGCCACCTTTGAAGTCTGACATACTCATTTGCTACATACTGTGGGATCCATTTTCCTATAGCCTCACTGATATGAATATTGGGGAGTTTTAAAACCTAAAAGTCTATCTAGTCCACTGTAATCTCACACACTATCAGCTGAGAAGGAAAAAGATGAGGAGAAACAGTAGGAAGAAGAATCAGCAGTGGAAGAAAAGGAGACATCTCACATATCCATCCAGTGGGAAAGTGCCTCTAGGTACATCAACCTGAAGATGGAAGATAAGTTAAGCTTATGCTAGCTACACTTTGGAATTTTGCATGTTGGCCAGGTGCCTATTTATTTCTGTCTGCCACCAGTACCCCAAGGGTGCAGAAATATTAACGTCTAGTGTTGTCCACGGGAAGAAGTGTGGAGAAACGATCAGAGCTCCCCTCTAGCAGCTGTTGCTCATATTATCCAGGAGTACTGAGCAATAGATTTGGCAACTTTCTGGGCAAGAAATTACCAGTAAAGCATGGGATGTTCTGCTAGACTGTGGAGTTTTAACGTCTTATTCACAAACACAGGATGCTGCCAAGGAGATACAGTCCCAGGAATGGACATAGCCCTCCCCACATCCAGACCTTCAGAACCACATCCTAAGTTGAAAGACCTATCTGGTGACCTGCTCATACATTCTTTAGGCATTATGGTCCCTCTTCACAAAGGCCTGGGTGTCACAGTTGATGGCCAACATAGAGGTGTGCTGCCCACCCATTGAGCAGCTCTATGCCTCCTGCTTGATCCCCTTCTTCCTTGATACACCAATGAAGAGGCTTAGTCTTTAGCAGATTCTCAAACACAGGAAATGGGGTCATCTGTCTTCTAATGGAGCTCAGGATGGACACATTCCTGCTTATACTTCACAATGAAAGAGATTTTTGGACTGAAGCCTGTCTCTCCCTGCTGACACCAGTAGGCACTTTGATGCACTCCATCAACTGAAGGGCAGGACCCAGGAACTCTCTCATGGATTAGTGGCATGCCCGAAGTTGACCTTTGCCATCTACATTACCACAGTCCTGATCCTTCTTGACTGCAAACTAACTACATGTTCATCTTCTGAAAAACCCAACCCTCTACTATCTGTGAGAGGTTACTGCTGCCATCACTGGCTTTATCTTCTCAGAGACCTTGTTCACTGAGTTCCCCTGTGTACAGGATTCTAGAAATGCATTGGCAGACTGCTGAGCTGAATGTTGCCCCCACATTACAAGTACAACAGGGCAGCCTATATTCTTGACTCTAAGCAGAGCCTTGCAGACAAAGAAGGTAATCTCTCCACTGCCAGAATAACTATGAACCCCAAATTGTATCCATTCCATTAACCCCAAACCTCCTGATCCAGATTTCTGGGATATAGGAATTTAGACTTCTGAAGCACTTGTATCCATTTCATATGGCCCCTAGTTCCTCTATTATCATCATAATTCAGTAGCCAGTTGCCATCCAAATGATTACAACTCAAAGTGCCCCAATGTGTGTCATTGTAAAACTGTTCCAATGGCTGATTTTTTGGAAGTAGATCTCTGGGCCTTTCTTCCGAGGCACCTCTCATGGACTTGAAGCTCCAGCCTTTTGGTTAACACCACTCCCAGGGAGTCATCATTATCATACTCTCCTTCAAATCTTGAGAGGCTACTGGGGACCAGGCTCTGTGCTAAATGACATAGTTCTCCCTCTCACTACAGTCCTTCAAGGTACATAGTGAATATCCCTCCTTTTAGGTGAGGACACTGAGATTAAGAGTGGTATGACAACTTACCTAAGAGTCACTGCAGAGTTAGAAGCATAGATGATTACCGTGCAATTAGCACATTTAGAAGGAAAGCGATACTGCTCCAAAACTCCATAACTCAGTCTTTTCCCAGAAAAATTTCCGTTAACATTCTAATTTATTAAAATAGAAGTGTTTGACTAGGAACATATAAGACTATTCACAGTTGACTTAGATGATGAACCATTTTTCTTTCTCCTCCTCCCTTACATAGGATAAAATGTATAGTGTCAGAACTTCTATGAAGTAACATGGTTTTTAGGAATTAATCATAATTGTGCTAACTTGTTTTAATTTTTATAGTAGTTGTTTACAAGTTGAATATTTTTCCAGATGATTTGAAAGAAAAACTAGACTATCACCTAGAAGTTTTTCGGGGAAAGATCAAATTGATAAGAAACAAAAAAAGAGAGGGGCTGATCCGATCGAGGCTGATTGGAGCATCTCATGCTTCAGGTATGAGCATTTTACTCAGGATGTTGTCCAGCATCTGTGTTCAGAGGCCATCCTGCCTATGCACATGGGAAACTACATGAGGCCCTCTGTGTTTCTGTTGTTTCACACAGAAAAACAGAAATGTATTTCAGCCCTATGAGTCTTTAATCTTCTTTTGATCCAAAATATTCTGTTTCAAGACACCAATTTGTTATTTCAAATGGAAGATTTGTTATTTCATCATGTTAGCCCCCATCACTGGAGAGGTTCCCCAGGGTGCAAAGTCTGAGGTGTAATGTTATGTGTAGGAGATTTATTTGGGATTGCTCTTGGGAATAATGCCTGTAAAGGGGTGAGGAAAGTACAGCTGGACAAGGGGAAGGTGGGTTGGGGTGCAGCTGCCTATCCCATGGGGAGCTCTAAAGCCAAAGTAGGGTGTCAGTTCTGGTCCTCTGGGAAGCAGATGAAAAGACAGAATGAGAAGAGAAAGCTTATTAGGGAAATTCTGGTGAAAAATAAAGGGAAAAAGGAGATGTGTGGTATAAGGGAGGTTCAGACATGATCTGATGTCTGTGAAGGGAGAGGGAACAAATGAGGTTCGGATTGAAAGAACTTCAGATTGCGGTGCAGCCCTAAGAAAAGATCAGACAAGCAATGCAATGGACAGGTCTCCACAGAGAAGCAGAGTAGAACATAAGACTCTTAGTAGCTGAGGAGGGATTCAAGACCACCAGTACAGACTGCATTTGCCCAGATCACAGAAACTTCAGGTAAAAAGACAAACAGGAATAGGAAGAGAGATCTTCAAAATAGCCATTGTAGTCATACCAAGGAGCTCTGGTAGCATAGTGTCTAAGGCACTTCACTACTAACCAGAAGGCTGGTGGCTCAAACCCACCAGCCACTCCTCGGAAGGAAGGTTGGGCAATCTACTTCCATAGTGATACTGCTTTGGAAACCCAAGGAGAGGTCGCTATGAGTCGGGTCCGACTCGATGGCACATTACAACAACAACAAGTCATACCACAAGAAGAGGAGTCAGCTCAGAGAGCATCAAGCACTCTTCCACAATTCCAGTCAAGTAAGAACTTTCCTGCCCTCTTCGCTTCCCAGTTCTTACCCTACTTGGCCCCTTGGTGAGGTCAGATACCACAGGTAGCAAGTTGGGGAAGGAGAATGGGAATAATGAGACAATAATGCTACTTTAATTCAAAAGCAAATGACCTTCCCACAATTCAACGTAGTTGTGGGAGAATGGACAATGAGTAGCTCTGCACAAAGGCAGGAAGCATCGATTACAGCACAATGGATGTTAAGATACAACACATACAAGTTAGGATGGAAATTCTAACTTCTGAACTTAGACTGTGTTTTTGAACTTGGAGTGTGAATATAAGGCTTCCAATTATCCCAGAGTAACCAGAAAAGTCCTGGGAACTGTTCTGGTTTGCATTCAATGGTGGGGAAGGACTTTTCTTTCTTATAGGACTTGAAGGAACTGTGGAAGAACAAAAATAAAGTTGCTTTGCCATGAGTCCTGCTAGTTCGAGATACTGGTAAACAGTTATGCACATTTGTTTATATATGTAGATACTGTTTTGGATGAATAGATAAGAAACCAGTCATTTCAACTGAGGGATGTGGTTGTTGTTATGTGCCGTCGAGTTGGACCCGACTCATAGTGATCCCTCCTTGGGTTTCTGAGGCAGTATCACTATGGAAGTAGATTGCCCCATCTTCCTTCTGAGGAGTGGCTGGTGGGTTTGAACGGCCAGCCTTCTGGTTAGCAGTCAAGTGCCTTAGGCACTGAGGGATAGAATGTCATTTTCAATGACTTAAAATTCTGTTGTGAGTTGTATGTAAAAATAATTGCATTTTTTGTAGCATCTGCAAAACATCACATAATGTGGATGAACTTGGAGGACATTATGCTGACTGAAATAAGTCAATCACAGAAGGACAAATATTATCCGTTATTGTAAAAGTCAAGGAAAGGTCTATATATGGAAGGAAATTTTCTTTGTTGGTTACCAGGAGTGGGAGGGGAGGGGAGGGAATACTGTTAGATAGGTAGAGATAAGTATTGATTTGGGTGAAGAGAAGGGCAATGTACCAAATTGAGTGATCAACATGGTGGCATTGAGGAATAGGAAGACATAGAGAGGTACATAGGAGGTACAGACAACAAAGTTGAACCCTTTTGCACATACAGTACTGCATTGTCAGTGAAGGCAAACACGGGTATACAGGTGGATAGATGGGTGGACAGGCTGAACTAGTAGGTATGTCTAAGAAGCAGGGAGTGTACCCAAGACCATGTATAGTGTTGGAAGACAATGGTTCTACTGGTGTATTTGTATGTTTTGTAAGAATTCCCAGGTGTATAGTAGAGCTGACAAGGAGCAAGGTTGTAATCACTTCTTGGTCACAGCCAGCTACCCAGAGGGACTGAGTAGTTGAACCTGTGGGCTCAGGACCATAATCGCAGGAGACATCAAGCTCAATTGGCATAACATACTATACAAAACATTGTTCTGCTTCCTACTTTGGCGAGTAGCAACTGGGATATTAAAAGCTTGCAGGCAGCCATTTAGATGCAATGATGGGTCTCTACTCATCCAGGGCAAAGAAGAATGAAGAAAACCAAAGATTCATGGAAACAATTAGTCCTTGTGACTGGTTCACCATGTGATCCTCAACCTATACAACTATGAGACCAGAAGACCTAGATGGTAACCGGCTACCACTGTCAACCACTTGACAGGGGATCTATGTAGGAGATCCTGGGTAAAGGGGAGAACAATGTGGAACAAAACTCAAACTCATTTGAAAAAAAAAAGGGGGGGGGGGAACCAAGTTTGCTGGTCTGATAGAGCCTGGTGGGACCACTGAGACTATGGTCCCTAGCTGCCCTTCAGGTCTGGAATTGAACCCACACCTGTGGCTTCCTGCCAAACAAAAAACAGGCATATGAGTTGAACATGTACTTGAGGTAGATATACTCCTTGGAAAGAACAATCATGGGAGAAAGAAGGGCTGCTTATGCACAGGGAGACAGCTCAGGGGGCAGTAGTATATGGAGGGATGGACACAGGGAAGAGGTAACTATCAGGAGGAAGTGGGAGGGCAGCTGTTGCATTAGGGTAAACTGTAGTCAATGCCATGAGACAATGTGTGTGTGAACTGCTGTATGAAAAGTGAATTTGCTCTGTAAACTTTCACTCAAATTAAAATAAAAATAATAATAATAAATAATTGCATTTTATATCAAGAGTTAAAAGATGTGCTCTTTCTTTGCAATGTGATTCTTTCTTTCCAAATGATATTTTAACAGTTGTATTGATTTGCAATTCACATAATATACAATTCACCCATTTAAAGTATATAATTCAATGATTTTAGTGTATTCACAGGGTTGTATAACCATTACTTCAACCTAATTTTGGAACATTTCACTTGGTCACGTTGTCAGAAGGGACACACACACAAACACACACAAACTCATTAGCAGTTATTCCCCATTCCACCTTACCCTACTCCCCCACCTAAACCCCAGTGTGGTAGTTAAGGTTATATGTCAACTTGGCTGGGCCTGGTTTTGAGTGGCTGAGCAGGTGGATGTAGTTATTCCCCATGGTGAGATTGGTAATCAGCTCCATGATGGAATTTACTGGAGCAGCTAAATAGCTGCCTTAGGGATGTGGTCTGCTTCCAGTATATAAGCAGCAACTTTGAGGAAGGTCTCCAGCTTTTAGCACACTTGAATCCCGCAAGTAGCCGAATCATTATTTAACAGCCTGCCATGTTGTCTGCCGATCTTGGGACTCTTAATGGACTTGAATCAATGGCCTGTCATGTGGTTTGGTAATATCGGGACTGCGTCTTTTTACTTGTCGACCTTGGATTTCTCAGCCTCAGCAGCCAGCAGCTGCCTGAATTAAGAAAAGCCTCCAGCTCCAATAGGCTGGGAGCAAGAGGCAGAGCTGAGTCCCAAGGTCGAGGCACTTTTACCCAGCCCCTAGAGCCTGGCACTTTGAACTTGGACTTCTAACCTCCAAAACTGTAAGAGAATAAACTTGTTTTTTAAAGCCATCCCCTTTGTGGTATCTTCTGTTAGAGGGCACTCACTGCTGTCGAGTCAGATCTGACTCATAGCGACCCCTCCTTGGGTTTCCGAGGTAGTATCACTACAGAAGTAGATTGTCCATCCTTACTTCTGAGGAGTGGCTGGTGGATTTGAACCACCATCTTTCTGGTTAGCAGTCAAATGCTTTAGGCACTACACCACCAGAGTTCCTACTAAAACACCTAGAAAGCTACTAATCTTTTTGTCTCCCTGAAAAGCAAAAAATAAAAATATTGTCATTGAGTTACTTCTGACTCATGTATTACAGAGTAGAACTGCTCCATAGGGTTTTCTTGAGTATAATCTTTATGGAAACAGATTTAGTCCTTTCTGTAGCACTGCTGGGTGAGTTTGACCCATTAACCTGTAGGTTAGTAGTCAAATGCAAGCCATTTGAGCCACTTAGGGACTTTTTTTTTTTTTCTGCCTACTCTGGGCATTTCATTAAATGGTACCTTCTGTACTTTTTTGTGTCTGGCTTTTATTTAACATAAAATTTTCAGAGTTCATCCATGTTGTAACATGTATCGATATTTATTCCTGAATAATAATCCATTATATGAGTATATATTATACTTATCCATTCATCAGTTGAAGGACATTTGGCTTGTTTTCACATTTTTGCTATTACAAATAATGCTTATATGAACATCTGTGTACAAGATTTTGTGTGAATGCAAATATTCATTTCTCTTCAGTATATACCTAGTAGTGGAATTGCTGGGCCATATGGTAAGTCTATGTTGAAATTTGGAGGAACTACCAAATAGTTTACCAAAGTTGCTGCACTGTTTTATATTCCCACTAGCATTGTACCAGGATTCCAGTTTGTCCACAACCTTGTTTGTTATTATCTATCTTTTTCATTATAGCCATTCTTGTGGGCATGAAGTGG